CAACAACCTCGACACCGCCGCCAGCCACGCGCGGAACGCGGGCGAGGGGAACAGCTCGTCCTGCAGGGTCCGCAGAATCTCAACAGGGGTCTCCTGCGCCGTTCTCGGGCTCACTGCAGGCGGGGGATTGAGTACGCAGTAACGCCATTTGTGCGGAGGTCCCCTGACACACCAGGCTCCGGACGTCCCGGCGGTGTGTGAGGGTATGCGTCCGGCACGTTCGGGGCCTAGACCGTCCCGCGTGTCAACCTCACTCAGGCGGAGGTGGAGGACCTCGGCCAGGGGATGAGCAAGGAATGAGTGAAGTTCGAGGGAGGATTCGGTGGCGAAGCGGGAGGAGAGGGCTCCCATTGTACGTGGTTGGAGGTAGACGGGGTTGAGGAAGTCGGAGAGGTAGTTCTTGTGTTCATCTGAGAGAGGTTGGTCTGGGTGAGGGGCTTCAGGATCGGCGGGGTAGGGTGCGAATGTCGTTGATGACGAGGTCTATGAGACGATGGTTAATGAGAGTGATAAGAGAAGAGGGACAACGTACGAGTTGTTCACGGGAGCTTTTGGTTTCTGGGACGGAGAGTTCGGGGACGTAGCCATCCTCTCCTTCTTGGGCGGCATGGAACCATCCGCTGATACTTAGACGCTCTCTTCCGTCCTCACCTTCGCCCCCGACGACGACCTCTTCAACGGAGTGGAAGCTTCGCCCAGGCTGTACCTCGAAAAAGATAAACTGATTCCAACTTGGGGGGATAGATTTTGATGGTATCGGCTCTGGCTCTAGCTGTCCATCTGGGCTCTCCTTGACTGGATATAGTTCTAGTGAACCACCCCAATCATTTTGCCAGAGTGTGTAGTGTGGTAGTGGCATATATAGAATGTAGGAGACGCGTCGCGTGCCAATGACATCGTCGTGATTGAGTAAGTGGCAGCCCTTCGTGTATGAATTAACAGACATGTCCTGTTTTTTCCCCGATAAAGGGCCGCAACCCGTGACAGTTTGAAGAAAGGAGCGGAATTTTTCCGAGTAGAGGGCATTGCGAAGAGTCAGGATATTAGGTAGCAGGGAAATTTGGGCGTCTGTAAGATAGTTCAGCGATGCAAGATCGCCTGTTTGGTTGACCTAGAGATCGAAGATGTTGGCATGTGTCGAATAAGCTCTGAGAGGAGCATGTTACCTTGTAGATATCAGTTTCTTTTTCTGTAAAGCTGAGCTCACTCAGGCACTCATCCTTGACTTTTTTCAAAAGCTCGTCCTGGAAAAGTTTTTCAACAACGGCATACTTGAAGGGTTCATTGGCGCGGTATGTGGCATGAAGTTTTGCAGTGGTGTTGTGGTCGAAGAGATCGTTGGCAAAGTGGTCTGCGGGATCGGGGGCGTTCATGTGGGAGATCTTAGACCGCTTTGCAGCGAGGTCGGGAGAGCGGGAACGAGAGTGAGTGCGCATGGGAGAAACCAAGAGATGCTAGGAGACTATAAACTATTTTGAACTTTTGAAAGACTGCACGGAAGTGACCGAGACCACGCCGAGAACTGTCTGGATTTCGTTTGATTTCCTCTTAATTATAGCGCCATATCGATTCTACTCAGATTTGCACACTTGGACATTCGTCTCCAATCTACCCGCAGTAATTCAGCTCCTTATCATAGCCTGCAGCTTCCAGACAGAATGAAATAATAAATCACTGCCCAATCGGCTTTCATAGACCCCGTCTCCTGATTGGCTGCTGATCAACATCCAGATGTTCGCACAATCCTATTGGCCCGCCGGCGGCAGGTCAATGGTCCAGACTCTCACGAGGCCACGCCACTGCTATCATTGACATGACAGCATGCATTCTTGAGATCCAGATGGAATTGTTGTCGCTGTTTTCTTCCGTCAGAATCACCATTTCAAAGCCACATATATGCCGCGCTCTTCTTGTTCATCAACATAACCTTGTGCCAGGTCATGTTCAACGGCTCTTCCCGTTTACGTCTCGCAAGGCTAGATTTCTCTTTCTTTGGTGTCCTGCATGCAACAACCTGCCTTCTTTACGAAGCTATCACTATCAGCCAATAGCTTCGAGTCTTTGGAAAAGCAGACGGTCCTCGGATCATGCAGCGTGTCGACGCATAAGTCAGCGAAAGACGCATATACAGGTCTGGGAAAATATGCTGTCTGTATAAGTGTATGGGAAAGTATGCTATATAATGATAATTCCGGATTTGCTGCTCTGGTTTTTAGACTCTTACGCTTCTGCAATTGTAGTTATGATTCAGTCGATTGGATCGGGCCGTAACAGCTCTCCGCAATAATGGTCTACGGATGTTCTGCTCGCCCGCTCTCGACTCGAAGAACTTGGTGGCTGATTACCCAGCCAATGGTTCCTCCTCGAACATGTCCCCACAGTGCTTAGTCTCCATAATCATAGAACGGTCTCGTTAGCGCTTTTGATTGTCACTGGTACCAAGCAGGTTGAGCGCACTTCCCGGTTCTCTGGTCGACTTGGCACCCCAATGAGCGCATCAATAAACTGGTGTAAGAAGCAGCTCATTGTTTCAATGACAAGCCTCTCCCAGCCTTGTCGTGTAAGTGACCGGGTGGTTTCTCCGGAAGAAGCTCCCGATACGGGCACATTTATCTCATGCACCGATCTCTAAGTAAATCCTTCCAAGAAATGCCTATAGACCATGCCTGGTCTACCTGGTCTAGTCTCGACCGATGCTACTCGGCACCATTCGAAATGCCTTTTTAGGTGGGTCATCCACGCAATAACGCGCCAGTCCTCCGAGCCTGCACCTCACACGGATGTTCACTTTGTTTGATATCTCCCTTTGGACCTTTCCTTCTTGTTGACTGATATTCGGCACCTGTCTCGGCACATTTTCAAAGTTCAAACCTTCACCTTAGTGCAACCTTCCTGAACTAGCCTTCCTCTCCACGTATCTTCTACTCCTTCCTTCCAATCGGCAGCGTTTCGGCACGCATTCAAGGTCCAAACCTTCACTTTAGATCTCTGCCCGAACGAGCCTTCTCTGTTCGCGAAGCCAACCAACAACACTTATCAGCGAGTCCCTAAAGCAGCATCTTACAACATCAGAAAACCGGAAACAAATTGAGTGTCCTCTGGCGGGGAAAATGAGCAGTATATAGAAAAGACGATCAAGATGGTTCTGGATCTTCTATCCTCTAGGTTCTGGACTTTGTGACTTTAGGCTGTGGGATTATGCATGCTTATTGTCACGAGTACCCTTTACAGTTCAACCGATGAAATCGAACGGATGCAGTTTGCTGGATTAACACAACGGATGTTCTATTCACTTCTCTTCGAGGTTCGTAGAGCTTAACTGTCGTTCTACCGGCTATGGTTTCTCTTTGGACTATGAGATTTCATCGTACTTCAAAGTCATAGTCTACGGAAGAAGTTCTACTCGTTCCCTTTGGGTTTGTAGAGTTTGGCTGTTAACAGGCTTTCAGGTAATAGTACTGGTGCTTGGTCATGGTGTCCTGACATGACTAACACACTCGCCAGTAAGTAGTTTAATTCCGAAAGATGTCAATCCCGTAAACCTCATGTACTCGTGCCAACTTATATTTATCCCTTTCTGAAGTCTGAAAGGCTTGGGATGATTTCAAACGATATATATGAATATTTATTCTTTTATTTTTTCGAGATTTCCAATAAAGCATGTAGATTACTTTGTAGGTATACGACGATCAGTCTTCAGGAGGGAGCTGTACAGTTTCCTAATAGATCATCGGCCTTGAATTTGCTTCGGTGGCTCTATGTCACCAACAAGGATCCAGAGTCGAAGTTCATGAGTTCAAGTTCGTCACCGATATGCTGATAGAAGGAAAGATGATATCATGTCCGAGCAATCCTTAACACAATTTTAGAACTCGGGGGCAATATGTTATAGTTATAAATAAAAATGAAGCTAATATTAATCTCCTGATACAGAACTCAAATATACTATCCGACAAAATCGCAGACCAATAAGTATGAGCATTGGCTCGGAGTGCCGCAGGTTCAGCTGAAAATTCCGTTCAAAGCCTTAGGTACAGTATTACCAGTTCTCGCCCCACGTAGTCATCAGATCACGGTTTTTGGTTGGGGAGTCAGAGCAAAGGAGATACTAGCAAGACCCGGTGTCATTCAGTCTATTGTTGGCATTTTACCCCAAAACAGAAACTTGCTCCATAAGGAGCACAGACTTTCAAGCAAGCATAGGAACAAGCCACAGTGAAAGTATCTCCAGGGTATTGCCCTGAGTTCAGGACGACGTTGACATATTATGTTTAGGCGTCTGTCAAAAGATTTGAGGACCGCTTGGGACGGTAGGCTATTTGTAGACATGATACCCCGGTGACCCGGAGCCCAAGTGAGTAGTTCGGGTCACGGCTACATATTGACGCTCGAAATGGCCAAGGTTGGCAGGAGGGTTTTGACGTGGCGCGGCTGCAGAGAAAAGGGTGAGACACTTGTTATAACCTGTTGGAGTGTCCAGTGGTTGTAACATGGAACTGTGGCAATTACATATGTCCTATATATTTGCAATGATGAAGTCAGTCCTTTTTTCATGAATGCGTGGATAGTTGTCACTTCAAGCTTATACTTATTGCGATGACGTCAATCAGAAGGTCTACAACAGAACTTCTCTTGAGGGGTTATAGGGAAAGTAAATTCCAGTGTAACTCGAGGAGATCGACAAATCAATCGGAAATTCACTGGCTGGTAGAATCGGGAGGATAATTTGGCTGGGACAAGATTTTACGGATTTGCATTGACGATCCTCGGGGAAAGCACGTGGCAAATCAGAAGTCATGCAATTACAGTCCGGAATGTCATGTCTGCCCCGACGCGTCCGTGTAATAGAAATTTGAGCAGCCACTTGCTTGCAAAATGCTTTTCTTCTCCTACATCGATTACGAAACCTTCCCTCCCCGGTGATTACATGTGATCAACGTTTTCAGAGGCTTCCTTTCGTGCTCTATCCTGTTTTGGTATTCTAGGAACACACAAGCACAGGCCTGATGGTCTAGTAGTATGATTCCTTGTTAGGGTGGTTCTCTTAAACCAATGCCACATCGAGGAGGTCCCGGGTTCAATTCCCGGTCAGGCCCTTTATATATTTGTAGCTTCTTTTTGAACAGAGATGGTCAAAAAGGTGCCTTGTTTTGTTGTCAGAACCCAACAAGCCTAACTGGTTGTAATTCCTTATTCAGCAGAGTCCTTTATATCTTTGGTCTTTCTCAACACACCCATTTTGGCAATTGGCAAGCCAACTATACATTGTTCAAATTACATGCAATAAAGAAGATACTTTGTAGCAGAAAAGAAATGTTGTGGTAATGTGGTATGAGGCCCTACAAGCCCATTATATAGCTGTTGTTATCTCTACATGATGTTGTTATGATATTAGCATTTGTATCCAATTCTCCATACAATATGTGATGTTTCCCAGTTAGTCAATTCTTCAGTGTTTTGTCAGTTTAGGATGGATATTCCTCTTTGACCCACTACTATCCTTTTGTATTGCTCTGCATTTTCATTCACATGGTGCCATCTTGAGGTAATCCAGCTCTTTCAGGGTAAGTAGATTCAATTGCAGGGTATTGTGTTTTTTTTTCCATCTCAGGCTTTTTCAGAACTTTAGGTGTGACAGTGATATTCTTGGTTATGAGGTCAGGATAAAAACAATACAGTTTTTTTGGTGACTATATTTGTTGTTGCTGTGCTGTTAAAATTGAGAATGGAGACTAATATGTTGTGACCAGAGAAGCCCCAGAAAGCTCCTGAAAAACATTGCCCAGAAATTTCCCAAATCTTAGCCTCAAATTCATTATTTTTTGGAGCCTCAAATCTGCAAGGCAGCTGATAATAATCCCAATACCCTTGCAACATGCAGGTAGTTTGGAAACCTTGAAAAGGCAGGATGGTCTCCACCACAGAGGGAGCAGACATGAAGGGAGTCCTGATGATGTCAGTTGTCCCACAATTTGTTGAGATTGAAAACTCTGCAAATGTGTTTTAGTGTGGTGTTTTTGGAGTTCTAGCAATAAGGCTACCAGAGAGTCTTGTGTAAAGTGGCTTTCTATCATCAAATGTGGAGATATTACTAGGGTGATCTGCAAATTAATGTTTCTTTGCACACAAGAGACATGTGGATATAAGGTCATAAAACACTTGGTGTGCTCTGCAAAAATCCTTTGAAGAAGGAGTGTTGGTGGACAGGGATATGGATAGTGCTTTAAAAGGCCAGAAACTCTGTAAAACACACATTGCTCATCATTAAGTTATTTCATGACTTTACCAATGATTTATCTAATGGATTGTATGGCTTTAATGTCATTTTCCATCTTTGCATCTTCTCTTTCTAAATTCTTGAGAGAAAATTGAATTGAATAGCATTAGACAGGAAGGGCAACTCAAAGGAAAAATCACATACAATTCTTGAGTCTTTTACTGATAGTCTCATGAGTTCACATTTTTTAAAGATAGCAGATATCAACAAGGCCCTATTAGAGGAAGCTTTGAGAGCATCTTTTCTGTGATGTTTGATGGCACTAGAGGATGATGCTAGTGGTAGAATTCCTTGTTAGGGATTTCTCTCTATCGAGCTGTAACTCCAACACCTGTTAGGCTTTCATTAAGGTTAGGATTAGTTTGAAAATCTAATATTTGTTATTGATTTCACTCATTTCGCTTCATTCACCATGCAATCTTCACTTTCAAATGCTATGAATTCTTTGGTTATAAATGATCAACAGCTTCAACATGATCTTCTTAGTGATACCTTCCTCAAGTAGAACAATTTGGAAATGAATTCCCCTTGTCAGATTTCTAAAGACTTTGAGGAGTTTGTCACAGAACTTTGAGACATGATTCTCAAAACAAAATTTCAGTGGGTGTGAAATAGACAATGATACGTTCATCTCATACTGGTTTAGAAATCTCTGCCTCAATGGGTCCTTGAGGCTACTGGTATTTCTGATATTTTCTTCATTGAAGCTACTATGCTTTGGATACATGTGATGTGGTCTAAAAGCACAAATTGAAATCAGGTGGCAGCAGAGTGTATAAGAGTATTTCAAGAATTGTCATCTTACTCTGTATGTTTTCTGTGATTTTTTTTGTCTCACCTTCTCACCTTATTTCTCAGCCTCAGTCAAAGCATAATCTTCTTATTTTTGACCTTGAAGAGAATCATCCTTCAGGTCCAGTTTCTAATACTCTATGCACTCCTGATCAATGGCTCACTTGAGTCTTACTACACACCTAAAACCTAACAATCCAAAACTTAATATTCTATCCTCACCCTAATGTTGGTGCCAGCAACTCTCCTTCCTCCACCCCACCTCACCTTACATCTCTCTAGGCTGAGGGAACCACTGCACTGCTTGACCCACTGCCACCCACATGGCTGGTGCTCATAGCACAAACCATCAAGGCATCTAGCACAAATCTGGTTATACTAAAGGAGCATGTCTAAAAATGGCCAAAAAATGCCAGCCCACTCATTCTCTATGTATATGGGAGGGTGTGAATTCTCATGGCTCTTGTAGAAAGTACCATTGCACTGTGCAACATGATGCTATGTGTCAAGCACATGATAGATTGATTAAAAAAAAAATCTCTGTGTTTTTTAAATTTATAGCTTGCTCTCATGGAACATGGAATGTGGCACTGGGCATAGCAGAGGCATCCCTATGCAGTTCAATCCCTCTTCTGTATTTTTTTTAGTCAATCTGACCAACTTCACTGATGCTTAGGTTACTTAGCTGCTTTCAAGCCTCTGAAAGCAAGGAATTTATGTGAATTTCTCTCTGAATTTATATTTTCTGCTAGTTAATCATTTAAATTTTGTTAGGCTTGTAACTAGAACTTGTCAGAAGTTCATTGTAGTCTGCAAGGTATTACTTTTGCTTCCCATCCTGGTTTACATCCTTGCCTTGCTCTTGTTATGAAGGAGACTGCTATGGTTGTCAGCAACAATAAAGAAGTTCAGCATCTGACCTTTTGACCACCCAAAATTTCAGCAAGTTTTTTAAAAAAATAGCTAAAAGCTAGAGATTTCTTGAAAAAGGCCATTAAAAAGAAAAAAAATATCTATTGTAAATTCAACTGTTGTTTTTTTTTTATCCCAGGCTTCTTCTCAGAATTCTAGTCTATGAATTACCAACACTTGTAAAGAATGCAAGGATTTACCTCTAAAGGATTAGTGCATCATTAGAATCCTGCTCACTAAATGGGATATTCAACAACTTGATGGTTGTGCACTAACAGCTGCTCTTCCAAATGATCACCTACCCCCACTTGTCAGTAGGAATTTTGTTTGGTCATTATCTTAAATGAACTTTTTTTATAGAAGGAAAGCAAGAGCAGGCTAACTAGATTCATAGGTATCTATTATACACTAGGAGAACTTGGCTGATGTATATCACTGCTGTGAAAGAGATACTGTTCTTCTTTTGAATGCTCAAAAATCATCAGAACTTGTGAGTACACTTCTTCCTCTTCAAAAATTGAATCTCAACTAGAAAAGGTTGGTGCTGTCAATTTTAAAGCAATGCTTCAAAGGACACTTGGAAATTTGATGCAACATAGCACTTAAGTTTTTCATTTTCCTGCTCTAAATTGTGGCTACTCATCTGATGCATGGTGGTTTGGTGTTATGAGAGCTATTAGATCTTATGTTTTTCAAAGTGGTTGACCAAGTGATACATATGCTTTTTATAAAGGCATTAATAGTAGTACAGATGAAAAAATCAAGGCATTATTTGAACATGCCAAGGTAACAGAACTGCATCAGATTGACTAATTAATAACACTTTCATAGACTGCACATTGGTCATCATTGCTCATGTCATCTATTTTCTCCTGACAAAGTCTATTGGTCATCACTCCTAAGATGCTTTTGGACTCAATTGTTTGAATTCTATTAAAAGTAATATATTTGCATTTTTGAATCATATGAGTCAATAACACATTAATAATAAAAAAAACATATTTATTTGTGCATAGTATAAAAAAAAATGTGCTGCTCATGAATTTAACTTTTCTTTCACCCAATGAGGAGTATATATTCAGATCATAAACAATATTTTATAATATGTTTGACTATCTTTGTTGTGTTTCAAATCACTTACTTTGTATTAAATTCTTCTATAGTAAACATTTATATGAGACAATCATGCCCAGCAAAACCTTATGGGAATCAAAAAGTAGTTCCACCAATTAATCAGGTCAAGATAATAGTCTAAACAATGAAAATGCCAATATTCTTGTAAGAGACAATACAAATTCTATTGCTTATGAATTTAACTTTTCTTTCATTTAATGAAGAGTATATATTCAGACTATGGACAATATTCTATAGTATGTTTGACTATCTTTATTGTGTTTGAAATCACTTATTTTATATTGAATTTTTTCTATAATAAACATTTACATGAGATAATCATGCTTAGCAAATCTTTATGAAGGTCAAGAGATAGTTCCACTAATTAATCAAGTCGAAGTAATGGTCCAAACAATGGAAATGCCAATATCTCTGGAGGAAACAATATAAATCCAGAATACAATCTTCAAGCTTGATACAATCAAGCTAAATCTAGAGTGATTAATATAGGAGCACATCAAACATGTCATTGTATAGATATTCAAAAAGCCATTTAGATTTAAGAAATTCACAGATGCTATATATATATTCAGCTATTCCAAACAATTATGCTAAATATTGGAATAGCTAAATGTATATATTGTACAACTTCTAACTAGCAATGAGAGAATATTTTTGATCTTAAATAAGAATCAAAAAATTTATTAATAGAGAATATTTTTCTTTGATCCACTACTCTCCTTTATTCCTCTGCATTTTCATTTACATGGTGCTATTTTGAAATAATTTAGCTCTTTCAAAATAAGTAGATTCAATTGCAGAGTATTGTGTTTTTCCCATCTCAGGCTTTTTCAGAACTATAAGTGTGACAGTGATATTCTTAATTATAAGGTCAGAATAAAAACAATACAATTTTTTTTAGTAATTATATTTATTGTTGCTATGCTGTTGAAATTGAGGATGAAGACTAATATGTTTATTATTCAATTTTTCTATTGCTAA